ATATTTAACTTTTATATAATTATGTTATACTTTGCATGTCAATAATTTATACTAAAATGTCAATACCATTCATAGAAATTTCACCACTTCTTATAATGTGGGAGGGGGAAGAGCAGGGAATGAAACCCCACTGGGCTACGGTGAAGCAGGCATCCTAATGAAGGTAATGCTTGTTCACATGTTTCTAGTGACTGACATTCAGTGAAGGGTAGGATGAAATGTTCTTACCAATTTTAAGAGAATGACTTTCATAACAATGCTAGGTGTTTTGTTATGTGACAGAGAAAACCACAGACCCTCCAAATTCTACCAGTTTACATAACTGAGTGTTATGGGTAAGCATACTTCCAGCCTCTATGCATTCATATGTATGCCCAGTAATAATAGCAGCAATCATGCACTATATTATGATTTTAATTGTAATGCAATATAAAAAGAATCAGAAGTGAAATTGTAGAATCTGCTGATATAGGATGTTGTCAGGCATTAGTATCACACTAAGAACCACTGTGTGAAAGTCAAGAAACTGTGAAAAACTTAACATTGGTTATTACAGCCTGTCTTAGTCACTGTTCTGTTGCTGTAAAGAGAAGTCATGACTAAGGCAACTCATAAAAGATAGCATTTAATTAGGGCTTGCTTACAGTTTCTGAGGTATAGTTCGTGTTCATCATGACAGCTAGCATGACAGCAGGCATGGTGCTGGAGTGGTAGCTGAGAGCTACATCTTGATCCACAGTAGGGGGTGGTACAAAGGGGGGGAGCTGAAGGCATGAGCTTTTGAAACCTCAAAAACCACCCCCATTAACATACTTCCTTTAACAAGGTCACACCTCCTAATCCTTCTCAAATAATGCCATGCCTGATGACTGAACATTGAAATATATGAGACTATGGGACCATTCTTATTCAAACCACCACAGTGTTTCCCAAGTATTCCACCACTGGGCTGTATATTCATGCCTTCTGTATTACAACTATAGAATGTTATGACTTAACATGACAGGAGAGCATACAGGATGGTTTTAGTATTCATCCCATTTCCCTCTACATGCTTCAATTTGTCAAGAATTTTTTGTCAAAATTTCTAACATTTACTTTCTATTCTACAACTAGGATTCAATTTCTGTGTCTTGGTTCTATCTTCATGGGTTTCAAACTTGTAATCATCTGTTGTGCTGGGACTCTGTAGGGGAACCTGTTATTCCCTTTCCTCTGGGCCCTTACTGAATGTCTACATTTAGGATTACTGGACCAGCTAAAGATGTCCCTTCTTTCTGTGACTTTGACTTCCCCAGACTGCTCTAGCACCTCAAGAATGCCTAGTCACTCTATGATGCAGTCCCAAAGGCAGCACAGGGAGCTTACCTTCACTTTCCTCCACGTGGCCTGGTCATCCTGTCAGCCCTTTGGTCAAATTGGGTGCTCTCTGTTACCTAGGCTTGCCACCTGTTTCTTTACTAGGTGATACTTGGGTGGAAGGGTTTGAAATTATGCATCTTGTTAATGTACTTGGTTGTTGCTAGCTCATACAGAGAGACTTTTTGACAGCTTTACTTTTCTTGCTCCTACCTGGATGCATTCCCGCCTTTCTCTAAAAAGGTGTTCAAGGGCTAGAGATGTAGCTCATTGTTAAAGCATTTGATTAGCAAATGTAACTCCCGGAGTTTGAGCCCACACACCATAAAGAAAACACCAACATAAATGGGAGTTCCTTAACTGTACTGTACTGGCAAGTTTTATGTCAACCAAACACAAGCTAGTCATCAGAGAGGGAGCCTAAATTGAGAAGATGCTTCCGAAGATCAAACTGAAGGTAAGCCTATAGGGCATTTTCTTAATTAGTGGTTGATGGGGGAGGGCCCAACACATGGTGGGTGGTGCCATCCCTTCCTATAGGAAAGCAGACTGAGGAGCAAGCCAGTAAGCAGCACTCCTTCATGGCCTCTGCATCAGTTCCTGCCTCCAGTATGAGTTCCTACCCTCACTGCTTTTGAAGATTAAACTGTTACATGGAACTGTGAATGAAATAAACCCTTTCCTCCCCACACTCCTTTGGGTCATGGCATTTCATCACAGCAACTTGTTTAAGTTGGTATACATCTATTTAAAATGGTTTAATGAGCTGGGTGGTAGTGGCAAGTACCTTTAATCCCAGCATTTTGGAGGCAGAAGCGGGCAGTTCTCTGTGAGTTCAAGGCCAGCCTGGTCTACAAAGCTAGTTCCAGGACAGCCAGTGCTGTTACACAGAGAAACCCTGTCTTGAAAAAAATAATAAAGTTTTAATGTAAATATATTTTTCAATAGAAAAAAATAAAAACGTGTACTCCAAAACATGAGTTTACTTTATGATATGGTGATGGTTAAGTTTTAAATTGAAATTTATATTGAGATAATTATAGATTCACAGAAAAAGCCAGGCACAGTGGCATACACCTGTGATTTTAGCACTTGGATTATATAATGAGAGTCTGCCTCAAAAACCAAAACAAAATAATACAACAGTACCTGGGTGCATTTTACTCATTTTAAACTAGCATCTATTTTTCAAACCAGAAAACCCATCAATCAAATAGCCAGAGGTTCTTCTAGTCAACAGGAAAGAAACCTGAAGGAATTGTTCAACCAGGAATGCCAACTTCTCCCTTAACCTTTTGTGTCTGTGTTACAGTATTTAGTGGTCTATTTAGAAATCCTTTATCTTTGTGGATCTTTCCCTCCAATAGTTTGAGAGTCTTCATAGTAGGGGTGATCTTACTATTGTCACCACCAGTGACAAGTCTAGCACATGGGAGGAAATGAGAGGAGGCAATGGTATGGGACTCAGCAAAACCTTTCTGGGGTGGGGCAATGGCTCCGTGAGTAAAAAGCACCTGCCACACAAGCATGAAGATCTGAGTTCGGATTACCATTACCCACATAGCCATGTAAGGCAGCACATGCCTATAACCCAATCATTCCTACAAGACGGGAGGTAGAGACAGGAGGCCAGCTAACCTGGCCTATGAAGCAGCAAACAAGAAGCCCTGTACACACAAGGTGGAAGGCAAAGACCAACACCTGAGATTCATGTGGAACGACATAGAAACCCCTGCACTCAAACATACAGAAGTAAAAGGACGCGTCTCAAGTCTTAAGCAGTGAAGCATTTAAGAATTCAGTTTCTTTTTCAGGCCACTGGAAGTGGTATTGTCCAATTTCCATATAAAATTATATATGTAAATCCTACTCACTACTTACTGATTCCTCATTCAGTTAATATTTAATGAGTTTCTACTGTTAACTAGCATGTTGGGTGCTGAGGATTATGGTGAATAAGACTGACATGGACCCTGCTCCTACTGTATGCTCAAAGTTATTTTAATTTTTAATGCCTCCTGGATTATTTTTATATTTTATGAATTTTTGAGACAGCATCTCGCACAGTAACTCAGGCTTGCCTGAACTCACTCTGTAAGTCAGGCAGACTTCAAACTTGGGGCTATCCTCCTGTCTCAGACTCCCAAGTGCTGAGATTACAGGTATGAACCACCATACCTAGTATGTACTTTATAAAGCAAGTATTTCTTTTTAAACTATCATTCTTTCTTTTTCTTTTAATTTTTTATTCATTTTACATACTACAACCACAGTTCCCCTTCCCTCCCCTCCTCCTGCTCCCCTCATCCACTCCCCAGAAAGGGTAAGGCCTCCCATGGGGAGTCAATGAAGTCTGGCACATCAAGTTGATACAGGACCAAGGCCCTTACACCTGCATCAAGGCTTAGCAAGGAATCCAACATAAGGAATAGGCTCCAAAAACAGGCTATCATTCTTATACCAATAATGTTTTCTGAATACTATTTTGCCAGATAAAAAGCTCTGGACTTTGAGACAATGCCAAAAGTTTATCCAAATATGCCTAAATTGGAAATCGGTTGTGAAACAAAATCCTAAATTAACATCTTATCCTTCAGTTCTACAATAAATAAATAAAAACATCTATAGTCAAGCTGTTTATCAGGTTTCATTTCTATGTACATGACCATTTTCCTTCTGAGACTACAGAAACAACAACAGTAGACAGGGCCTAGATGCCTCATCCTTTTTCTTGTTCATTGTTACTTGAAACACACACACACACACACACATGCACACGCATGCACTCATAGATACAGATCAGCCAATCACATGATTAATTACTACAATTTCATAACTTTCTACTAGAGTATGGGAACAAATGAAATCAGTTATTTTAAACTAGGGGCTGGACAGATGGCTTAGCAGTTAAGAGTATCAGTTGCTCTATGAGGAGACCTCGGTTCAATTTCCAGCACACAGCGATATCACATAACCACCTGTAACTCCAGTTCCAGGGGCTACAACGTTTTCTTCTGGCCACTGTGGGAACTGTACGATACACATGCAGTCAAAACCACCTATACACATAAAATAATAAAATAAAAATTAAGTTTAATGGACTGAGGATGTAGCTCAGCAGGAAGAGTCTTGTCTAACATGCATGAAACACCTCATAAAAACCACCAATGGTGGCAACATGCCTGTAATCCCAACACTCTAGAGGTCATCAATGTCATCCTCAGCTATACACTGATTTCCATAGTAGCCTGGGCTACATTAGACCCTGACTCAAAAACAATTAAGGTAGGTTTACTTTAAGCACCCAGACAATGTAAACTTGCTGTGTATATAATTTTCTCTCTTACCCTCAGTTTCATGTATAGGAGGGTTGGAATACCTGACTTCTAGAAGGACACACATTTAAAAAAAATCAGGCCATCCATGCATTATCCACTTATCACTGACTCAAGGCTCCAACTTCCCTTATCACTGACCTATTTAAGTGGTCCTTTTATGAAAAAAATTAAATAAAAATTTAAAAAGGAAAATATGGAAAAATCATTATGTGTTTTCCCAGTATTCAACATCAACAGGTATTACCCAGGGTTGTCAGTCTGCTAAAAAAAAAAATTAAAAGAATAGTCTCACCAACTGCCAGGTAACAGCTTCAAGCAGAAAGAGCAACAATATTTTATTTTCTTACAAATAAACAATTCACAAAAATTTGGCTGGGGATGTGTATGTACTTTTAATCAGAAGGAAAGAAAACAAAGAAGTAAGTTTCTGGACCCACAGACTGTATTTAATATCCCATGGATCCTATCTTACATGTAGTAGGTATGCAACACCTATCAACTGAACCAAAGAATGCTTTGTAAGATGTGTCTGCAAAATGTGTAATACCATAGTAGTAAAGTACAATGTTCAAATATGTAATTTTGTCTGTCAGATTTTAAAAGCCTTTAAAAATATAATATGCACTAGCTTGCCCTGAGGGGAAAAAGATGGAATAGCGATTATAAAATCCTTACATATTTTCCACAATTGCATTTGAAACTAGAAAAGAGCAAATAGTCATGGGAATACCCAAGACACGCATTACTAACAATTCAGTGCACTTGCCATGACCTGATAGAGAAGACACACCTCTTCTCTAGGCTTCTTATATTTGATTATGAAATGGATGATGTACATAGGCCTTGATCTTCAGAAACTTCAGAAAACTTCAAGTTAGAAGCCAAAATGTCATCAGAAAAAGAAAATCCAGTATAAAATTTGCTACTGTAAGGCCACTGTTTAAAGTTATTTCATGTACAGACATTATATAATTCTGATACTTTTTCTTATAACATAAACAAAGCTTTTAACATATAAATGTTTAGATAAACTTGATTAAATTCTCTCAATGAAAACATACTCAGAAAAAGATGCATCAACAAATAATGCCCCTCAAATAATCCTGCTGAGTGTTTTTGCAAAAGAGCTTGTAGTTAAATACAACTTTGAAAATGAATATTGTGATTAACAGTGATTGTTAAGTGTAAAAAAGTTGCAGCATTCCACTACTGAAAAATAAATATATTTTATCAAGAAAGTTACAGTATTAGTGTCTTAGTGTCAATTCCAATTCCTGACCAAAGAGATGTTCAGTTACATCCTCAGTTAAGTCCTCATATAGGGTCAGTTCCATTTGCAACAATTCCAGGTTGGTTTTCTGTGGCAATATTGTGTATTCCTGTCAGAAAAAAAACAAAAGAAATATGGGCTTCAATAGAAGAGTCAGATACAACATGTGAGCTAGAGTTTGGCACACAGTGCAGTTTTCAAAATGTTTTAATCTTTATAGTGCTAACTTGTACTTCACAATTTACACAAAGGAATGTGGAACCCTGAAGTTCCCATCTAAACAGAACACACCAAAACAAGCAAAAATCATAAATGGGTCAGACATTTATGACTAGTGCTCCCCACTAGAGAGCACTAGTCTATTTACTAATGGGGAAGACACACTGTACTCCTTCAGAGTTTTTCAGAGAAAGCACTCTGGCCTAACTCAAGACTCAAACTTTGCCCCTCTAGACTCCAGCCTGACACAACGGAGGCACACATATGCAAGTTAACATGTTATCCTTTCCATCACACACTACTTCTTATTCCAGAACTACTTTTGGACTTTTGCAATGACTGATAATTGCAAAGAGAGCTTTTGGAAAACTTTCAGATAGCTGTCAACATAAACACATAAGGTTTCAACAAATATAAGAAAAAAACCCGCAAAAGAATAGGAAAATTATGATAAAAGTAACAAGTGTGGGTTTTATATTGTAGTATGATGCAAAAAACTAAATTACCAACTACAAACTTGATATAAAACTATGCAAATAATAAAACTAAAAGTGGTAGAATGACATGTATTCAAAGACACTGAAAATAAAAATTTATTCAAATATATCCTTACCTTTTAAATAGGCTCTTACATTAAAACTGAAAAAAATACAAAAGTGTGTTTATTTTTAGCATTCATATTAGAATGGAAATATTTAATTCCAAATAAAACAATGCTGGCAGAAAAATCTTATTATTCTTTCTATGTTGCTTAATGAAATGTTCAAAACACATGTATATACATTTTTCAACATTATTCATCTAAAAGTTATAGATGGGTATTTTATCCTTTATTAATTATACAATATAAAACAATATAATTATGTCTTGAAATAAAATATCACCAACTAACAACATTGAAAAAAAATTTTAAGTACAATAATTTTAAAGAAAATTTCAACTGAAAATCTTATTTTTAAAAAGCATGCAATTCTTTGAACTACTTTCATCTTGATATAGTTTCTTATCTCTCAAACTGATCTCCCACTCTTCCAATGATATATTTTTAAGTGTAATGTGAAATAGGTTTTGTCTAGGATTTCCTCTTTTGGTTTTTTGAGACAGGGTTTGTAACAGTTCCGGCTGTCACAGCAGAACTCACTATGTAGACAGGCTGGACTCGAACTCAGAGATCCACCTGTCTCTGCCTCCTGAGTACTTGTATTAAAGGCGTGCACCACCACCACCTGGCTAAGTTTTCTTGACAACAGAGGATCACTGCAAATACTGCCTTGCTGGTTTTATTGTGTCTCATCTTAATTCCCTGGTACCCTGCCCCCCACTACTATCCAAAAGGCTAACCTAAAGCACTACCTTCCCTTTTCACCCCACACAAAAGTATTCTACTGTTAACTTATCAAATAAGAAATAAATCACATGCAATTTGAAGCCCTTGATATATTTATTGTGTACTTCTTTCTCCTTAATCCCAGATGCTACTGACAAACATGGACCAGAGGTGCTCTTTCTTTGCTTAGGTCTTCTTCAAGCCTCAGCTTCCAACCTCCCTCTTCTAGGAAGACCGTGTCAGTGAAAGTACTTAGGGCACATCTCACCATTCCTGCCACAGACATCTTTCTCTTTAGAGAAGTTAAGCTCTTCGAAAACATGACAGCTCAGAAAAAAGAGTTGACATAACAGGAGTTACTGCTATCCTTGGAAGTGCCTGCTTTCAAGGCTGGCCTATAGCTGACATTTCAAGGGGAGTCTGAAAGTGCTCAAAGTGTAATAACATGGTTTATGCTATTTCCTTCTGAGAGCCCAGAATGAGGATGTGTGTCCACTAAGGGGTGCCCATATGGTAAGCTCTTTGTAACAACACTGAGCACTGAGTCTCCAGTGAGCTCAGGCTTGCAACACTGCACATACATTATCATAACCAACTGCTGAAGGAATTATTCATGCCCTGAGTGGTTCCACTGGGAAAGACTCTCACAAATTTGCATGGAGTTTCCCCTCAATTTTGCCCTGTGTGCTGATTTTTGCTGGGTATCCTTCAACTGTAACAAATCAGTCACATATCAGTACAGTTAGGTACTGAGTTGTCTTTGCAGACTATCAAAAGCAGAAAAGTCTCATCCTGCAGATTTTTTTCACTAACCTTTTGGAGCTAGGGGTACAAAAAGAGACCCTGTCTCTAAAAAGAAAAGAAAGAAGGAAGAAAGGAAGGAAGCAAGCAAGCAAGCTAGCTAGCTCTCTAGGAAAGCAGATATATAAATAAAGAAGCACTATTAATAACCAAAGAGAATCACTTGCTGCTATCAGGCTGAAAACTGTTGAAGTATCACACTGACTAGGGTATAGATGGAGTCTATACTATAGACCCTTTCATGTATTCCGGGTATTAGTACAAATGAGTAAAAGGGGAATTACCGGCAAGACACCAAAATGTCCATGTGCTTAAATGTTGATACTGGAAAAAAGCAGTACCTGTATGCTACCCTGAAGTCATCAATGAAGGCTTACACATACAAGTTAGAATCATAAACTGCAGTACACATACCCTCACGAGTATACAATGATTTTCCAAGTAGCAATGTGGGTCCAGACAGTTTGAGCGGATTCGTTTCTAGATCTTTAAATCTCTGATGTTCTCTTTCTAAAATTCTACATTTTGGTAAGACTGGTTCCCTCCCTTCTACATTTGAAGGGGTTAAACTCTCCCACTTTTACAGCTGAATGTAAGTTTCAGTTCTCTGAGAAGGACAACAGGTGTCTTTTCCAACAAAGGGCCATTTATCTACAAGGCCCTGACATTCAGAGTTGAGTGAGAAAACAAACAGAGGGGTTAAGCCAGCCTCACAGTCTCTTAAGGACAAACCCAGAAGCCCCCTTCTGGGTCACGTCCAAGCTTGGGCAGATGTGTCCAAAAATGGTAAGACTAAACCTCAGCCAATTAAAAATATACTAATGTAACTACTGCTTGCTTAACCAATTAAGTTTTAGATGACTAACTGCACCTAAAACTCCACCTAGTTATACTTTAAAAAGGCCTACACATTCCCCTCAGGGTTTGACACCATTGTGTGCAGGTGAACAACTCCACATGCACATGGTGTAACAAACGCTGTTTGCTATTACATACTATCTGAGTCTGGGGTCTTCATTCAGTGTTTCCTCAGACCCTACACATTCTCATCTTGAATCTATTTCTTTTTCTTCAAGATTATATCATTTCTCCCTTTTCTTTTCTCCTTCCAAGCCCTCCTATCTACTTTTGCCATGCTCTTTCAAATTTATGACCTTTTAAAAAATTATTATTGCAGGTATATATTTGTGTGTATGTATATATACACAAATTCTAAATATAAAATATAATCTCTTTCTCATGTGTGTATGTATGACTATATGTACATATGCATTACATGTGAATACAGGTATCTCTATAACATGGCACACATATGAAGGTCAAAGGACACATTCAGGTATTGGTTCTTCCTCTTCACCTTGTTTGAAACAGGGTCTCTTAATACAGTATCTTAGATCAAAAGGCCATACTACCATCTGAGACAGAGGATCTCATAGCTTTCCCATCTTGTTATGGAGGTGCTGGGGTTACAGATGCACACCACCTTTTTTTTCGGCTTTATGGAGGTTGTGGGAATTAAAACTCAGGTAGTTACATGGCCACTGAGCCATCTCTACAGATCCCTAGAATCTATTGTTTTGTATTACCTGGTGAGGCCTCCAAAGAACACTCTGAGTTATTAGCGATGGTGTCAAGAAAGTGAACCAAGAATGAGGCATGTTGGCCTTAAATTCTAATATTCTAGAGGCAGAGGCAGGTGGATCTCTGAGTTCAAGGTTAGCCTGATCTGCATAGTGTGTGCCACATCAGCCGCTACCATACAGTGACACCCTATCTCAAGGCAAACAAAAAATTGGTTTTGCCAGGTGGTAATGGCACACTCCTTTAATCCCAACACTTAGGAAGCAGAGGCAGGCAGATCTCTTGTGAATTTCAGGCTAACCTGGTTTACATAGAGAGACTCTGTATCCAATAAATAAATAAACCCAACTTTAACAACTAGTAATAAATGTATAATTTTTGACTCCATATCAGATACCTTTCAATTCTTTTGCCTAGCAAAATTTAAAAGACAACAAAACCAAGCTTTCAGTGAGAGAACACTGAAAATACTTTCGGTTATAGATCAGTAAGTGATATTTTTGGCCTGTAATTTAGAGAGTCCAATGAACCAAATAACACTACTATTACTGAAGTCCTTTTATTCCAATTTATAGAATTATACAAGGTTCCTCCATAATTATAAGAAGAAATACAATTACATAGATGCTTGAAGTACTATTCTATTACAAGTAATATGTATCTTTGGTTGGTTTGGGTTTTTGTTTTATTTGTTTTTGTTTTTTGAGACAGGGTTTCTCTATGTATCCCTGGATGTCCTGGAACTCATTCTGTAGACCAAGCTGGCCTGGAACTCACAGAGACCCGCTTGCCTCTGTCTCTGAGTGCTTGAATTAAAGGCATGTACCACCAATGCGCTGCTTGTATCTGAATATATGAACTAGTTGAAAATATAAACACATCTGTAGCAAAACTTAATCAGTACTTCACAAAACTTGTGGTACTTTATTTATGGTACTTTTTATATTTAGTCCAGAAAAAACTTAATACCTAATAGTAACAGAAATGTAATATATATTAAAAATGTTTTAAAAATTAAGTTGTGCTGGGCATTGGTGGCACACGCCTTTAATCCCAGCACTCAGGAGGCAGAGGCAGTCGGATCTCTGTGAGTTCAAGACCAGCCTGGTCTACCGAGAAAGTTCCAGGACAGGCTCCAAAACAATACAGAGAAACCCTGTTTCAAAAAACCAGAAAAAAATTAAGTTGCATGACAGAAGTATAGTTAAATCAAAATTCAAGGCAAAAGGGGAAGATTTTAAATTGCTTAGTGTTAGAAGAGCTAACTTGTGTATTTTTTACAAGATTTACTTTTATTTCATGTGCATGGGTGTTTTGTCTATATGTGTCTATGTACTATGTGCATGAAGTGCCTACAGAGGCCAGAAGACAGAGACGGATCCTCCAGAACTGGAGTTACAGGTAATTGTTAGATACCATGTGGATGCTGAAACCAAACCCAGGTCCTCTTGGGACATGCTCTTAACCACTGAGCAGTCTCTTCAGTCCCACTTGGGTATTTTCTAACTGAAGATTAGTTATTGAGTATATAAGTAAAAAGGCTTGGAAAACTGAATTAATATACCCATATAGTAGAATAATGTGCATTTGTTAATGAATGAACTGAATGAAGTTGTGAGTGACAGAAGATTTGAAATATTAAAAGTTGGAAGGAAAACTAGAAGGACTGCCTATTAGGACAAGTTTTTAGGTTGGCTTGGCTGGCTGTAATAGCTATGGATGATGATGGGAGAGAGGAAAGTGGTCTTTGGAGGAGCGCATGCTTGGTACTGTATTGCCATTGTTTCTGTTGTCAACTTGACACAAGCTAGACTCATCAGGGAAGAGGAATGCTCAACTGAGAAAATGCCTCCACCAGACTGGCACATAGACAAGACTGTGGGGTACTTTCTTCACTGACTGATGTGGAAGATCCCAGCCCACTATGAGC